CAGAAAATAAACCAAACACACCAAGACAATTTTTCAGAATGCAACAAAATATCGGAAAGGAAAACGTTTTCTGGAAAATAACTCATTTTCCAGAAGTCATTTTCCTACTTTCCAAACAGACCCTTAGTGCTCCACCACATTGGCACATTTAGTCCTATTCTTTCAATTTTATTATATTACATTATTGACTTTGAGCAAATTCCACTTTTAGTCATTGACTATTGTGGTTTGTGGTCCTCCATCTATTTGACCGTTTGTTGACCGTGATCGACGATCCCTAGAAGAACCTTTAGCTCTCGTCGGAGCACGTGGAGGCCTCCAGGATGACGTTGCACCGGTTTGGAAGCACGTCGTCTTCTTCGCTCTGGTACGAACTCAACTACATTGAATCCAAAGGGAGGATGAAGAAAGGTGACCGGATTTGGTAGATTGCTTTCGGCAGTGGATTCGAATGTAACAGTGCGGTCTGGAAATGCAACCGGAACCTTAAAAAACCGATGATGGACCATGAAATTACATATATATCCTCAAAAATCATAGTCAACAAACGGTCAAATAGACAGAGGACCAAATTGTGTTAAAATTACAAAGTTAAGGACTTAATTGGTTGAAATTGAAAGTCGAGGACCAATTTGTGAATTTAGCTATAGTCGAGGGACCATTTTGAGTATTTACTCATTTTAATATACTAATTAAGGGTACATTATTTATGTACGTAAAGTACATTTTTTGAAAGTACATTAATTATGTACGTAAAGTAAATTTTTTGAAAGTACATTTTTAATATACTAAGGGTACTTTATTTTATATAATATACCTTCAGTACAAAAATAATATACTTTTAATATATTAAAAATGTACCTAATATTCATGGTCCATACAATTGTGTGGACCATAATTTGCCAATCATGTGTTATTCCATTACAAAACATTACTTGTAATAATCTAGCATTAGTCTATAAACTATTATTACATTATTTCGTCTTTTTATTTTACCATCATATTTTATGTGAATTTAGTAACGTTACTAAAAATTCATTTTTTTTTTTTTTTTCACTCCTACGTTGTTTCTCTCCTAAACTGTCTGTCCATTCATTATGAAAAAGCTTTGTATTCAAGCTTTTGTTTAGTTCGTCAAAGATAATTAGTTTGAGTGTTCAAACTATTTTAGTGTAGTCTATTTTATTTTGAGAGACTGATACAACAAGTCAAATTTTATATTTGTTTTTAGAGAAAATTTCAATTTTGGTCATATGACTATAGGGGCTTTGTTAATTTTAGCATCTGACTTTTAAAAGTGTCAATTTAGTACCTTGAGTATGTAATTTTTGTCAATTTTGGTCACTCCGGCTAAATTATCGGCCAAATTTTGCCGAAAAAAGACGATTTTACCAGAATTCAAAAGACGATTTTGCCCCTCAGATTATAGACTAAATGAAGGATTAAGTTTTTCCGGCGAAATTTGACCGGCAATTTAACCGGAGTGACCAAAATTGATAAAAATTGAATTGTCAAGGTACTAAATTGACACTTTTGAAAGTCAAGTGCTGAAATTAACAAAGCCCCTATAGTCATATGACCAAAATTGAAATTTCCTCTTTGTTTTTATTAAAAAGTTAAAATTTTCACCTACAAATTTGAAAGGTAGGAGAGACATAAGGTTGTCCTCAATACTGCAATTTTAGCATTTGCAAGATGATGTGAAATCATGTGTAGAAAATGATTTTTTTAATTATAATGTACTTACATGGAATGCAAGCTTGCAAAGTACAAAAAAGGTGTAATTTCTTTCTTCCTTTTTTTTTTTTTTAAAAAAGGAATTATTATTTTATTATTATATTATAATATGATGGGAAAGCTGAACCACTTTTAAAAGTGAGAAAGTATTGCAGGAATGTAAGAAAAATAGTGAAGAAATTACAAATTTAATGATGTGGAAGTGAACCCATTTTTTAAAGTGAGAGAGTATTTCAAAGATAAGGATAGCTTAAGCCAAATTGCACGTTAATTGAATTAATATGAAAATTTTTTTTTTCTTAATTAGGACACTCTAACTACTTAAAAAAAACTTAGGTGATCTGATCTCAGATTCGCCAAACTAATCTTAGATTTACAGGACCCCGCCCCTAGGTAAATCGCGAGTCATGCAATCAGCCCACTAATCAGATTATATTCTTCATGTGCACACAATAGATCCAATTCGACCTCCATTCATGATCTTTAAGTCAGGCAAGAACCAACCACGATAAGCCCTGGGACTTTGGGAGGCACTCTAACTACTTTCTTGCTTTACCTTATGCATGCTACTCTTGAGACTTGAGAGTAATATATTCTTATTCCCATTAAAAATGAACTAATATATGAAAAAAAAAATTGCACCCAAACCCTCGTGATTCTTACTAGCTCAGTAGCTCTTATCCTATAGACTTGATGGGGAAAATAAATCACAAGATTTGCTTTAACGGGTTGACAAACGCCCAAATACTTAGGCTGGGATTATCCCAGTCAATATCTTATTGGCAAGATGAGTTGGACAATGCCATGTATGATTTTTATTTTATTTTATTTTTTTAATAGTGAGTTGGATTGCAGGTTTGCTCTGCATGCAAACTTGCAATTGTACAAAAAGCTGCTTTGTACTTTTTTTTTTTTTTTAGTTTTTTTATTTAGTTTATTTAATTTTGTTTCCTCTCTTTTATTTTATTTGTTTTTTGTTTTGTATTTTGCCATATTAATTTTTTTATATTTAATGTGTAATATTTTTTAATAAAATAATATATTAAAAGAGAACATAACATTTCATTGATTTAGAAATACAATGCATACAAATTAATTCCACCATACTTACTCATCTAAAAACTTCTTCAGTGTTGTCGTAGTTGTAATTCGTACTTGGGTTAATTTTTATGAATTCAATTACTTTGAATTTGTAAGGTTCATTTGAGTTTTAATTTTACAATTCAAATCGTGGTATAATATGCATCCGGTTATATACCATACATAATACAAATAATTTCTTACATTATTTTTTAAAATAAATTCATTAAAATTACGTGTCTAAAATTTATGTTGATAAAGATACATTTTTTTTTTTTTTTGTAAAATTGATATACATACATTCATTACTATACGTAATTTAATTCATTAATACATACATTTAGTTTTTCCATTAATACATACGTAATTAGTTATTTTCACATTTGTTATATTTAATATTTAAATATAAGTTATATATTGATATAAATAAATAATGTTGAAGACAAAATAATATTTATTAAGAAAAAATATTAATTTTTTAAAGTGATGTGAAATTGGGGCCCACTTTTGAAGGTTGATTGGATTTGCAGGGATGTAGTGTGAATAGTAGATAATTTGCAAAAGGGATGATATGGAAATGGGACCCATTTTTGAGAGTGGGAGATGTTTGCAGGAATAAGAACAGCCTTATACACTATTTACAATGAAACAAATTTCATACTTTAGAAGCTAATATATATGTATATATAGTGTATACATAAGGGTGACAATGGACCGGAAAAAATATGCTCTCATTTGATTCACCCTTATAATTTCTCTACTACCCACACCCTCAACTCACAGGTCAAATTATAAGAGTTGTCATCCTTAAATATACAATTAAATTTTCAAGTATACTTGAAAGTACGTTGTGAATGAAGTAACAAATATTGAAAATTTTTAAGTTGTGAATGTCATTGGCGCTTTTTTTTTTTTTTTTTTTTTTTTTTTTTTTAATAAACTCATTTATTTAATCATAAGATGAAGCGATTACAAATATGATCGATGGAACGGTATACCATTCCTTACAGTCAGACATAGAAACAACTTCTCTACCAATGCTACAAAGAACTTGAATCGCAGACTGTTTTACAAATTTGAAGCTGAATTCGTTAGATGAATTTAAGGTTTCTTTAATATCATTGAAGAATTGATCAAACATAGTCAAGACTAACTTTGGTTGAAAAGTCTTGCACACCACTTGAGTATATGTTTCCCATCTGTCGTTCATTGACAATATATCAATCGAGCTGAGATGCAGATGCTCTTTTACATTGTTATCTTTGTCACCCAGGATGAAGTTCACATACGCGGATACGGCATGACCAACTTATATGTTTCACACTTATGAAGAAAAAAACTCGGCAAAAGAAACGAGGAAAACAAACTCGCCAAAAGAAACGAGAGGAAAACAAGAAACGAGAGGAAAACAAGAACACAAAAGAAAAGAGAAGCAGCAGTACACCTCTTGAACTTTATTTTACGGATCCACGGGAATCAAACCACTTTTTTATTTAGATCTTTGGAATTACCGCAACTTCCTTGAAGGGTTGGTGGCTAAATCGGCACTAGACTTTAATTTATTATGAAACTAAAAAAAAACAAAAGAAAATAAGAGATCGCCCGCTAAGAAACGAAGCTCCGTCAAAGATTCAAAGCTTCGGCTAGAGGCCACCAGATGAAGAAACATCCAAAAAAGTAGCAAGGTTTCGTGAGACAGAAAGAGAGGTTTCGAGAGTACTCTCATTGGTGCTTTTTATACAATCACATATGCTATTTGTGTTATAGTGATACTATCATGCATACTTATTGAGCACATAATATATAAATATAAATATGTAATTCAATTGTCAGTTTAAACTTTTAATTGTGATGATCTGGGAACACATCTTTTAAGGTTTAAACTTGTATCGGAGCACACGTTGTTCCATGGTGCGCTTTGAAATATTGCCCCCATGCAAGCAAAACCAGTCCAAGGTAAGGCAAGAAAAACTAAGGTCTCATATTCAACTTCGCCAAAATGTTTGGCAAAAGGCAATATCATATCCTCACTACATTTCTACCTAGCCGCCTGCTGCCATTGCATATTCATCATCAACATATATACCTACCCTCCACACACACATAAACTCAATCATATATATATTGTTCTTCATATCATATTCATAACCAAAAGTGTTCAAGATTCTGTTTTTTGAAACCAAAAGTGTTCAAGATTCTAGTTGGGTCGAATTAGAATATGTTTGTATTTCAGATCCAGGAGTAGATAATCCACATTTGCTTAGTTTACAGAGATACAAAAAAAAAAAAAAAAGATTCATCATTTCAGGTAATTTTGATTAATGTTTTAATGTTTACATTTTTGAATTTTTTTTTCCCTTTTTGATACATTTGATGAAAGAGGGAAGGCGGAATGAAATTCAAACTCGAGCTTACTTGAAAACGAGTGTAACTTACCATTGAGTTGCATGTCAAACCCAGCTAGTCTTGGGAGTTGGGTTTGACAAAACTGGTTCTATTTGAACTTGGGTTGTGGAGCTTTGAGTATTATGGAAGACAAATATGTGAAAATGGTTTCTCTTTAATTAAGTATCCTTTTTTGTGTGATCAATAGATTTGGAGTGCAGGAAACGCAGGGGAGAGCCCTCTTTTCTGGCAACAAAGCCGGCCTTTACTATGTTGGGATTGCCAATCCCATTTGTTTATGTCATTATAGGTGTTAAGCCCCATGTGACTCACCCACCCTTTGATGCATTTCTCATGGCACCCTCAACCTCACTTCAATGCTCCATCCCCTTACACCCATGTTTATTTCTAGGTTATATCACGTTGATCGATTCAAAGAAGAGTTAATAATTCCGTTTTTGGTAGGGTGCACAATAAATTGTTGGGCCATATTTCGTAATTTATTCAGACTTTGTAGTAAGTGGGAATTCTCAAGATTAGGGTGGATTGCTTCAAAGAAGAGTTAATAGCTCTGTTTCTGGTCCGTCACAGGGTGTACAGTAGACTGTTAGGACATATTTTGCAATTTATCTAAACTAACTCTCGGGATTAGGGTGAATTGATTCAAAGAAGAGCTAATAGCTCTATTTCTGGTTAGTCGCAAGGTGCATAATAGATTGTTAGGACATATCCTGCAATTTACCTAGACTTTAGAGGTAAGTAGGAACTCTCGGGATTAGGGTGCAATCCGCTTTATATATTTCTTTCTCTCTATTTGACACAAGATCCAACGCCCAAACTTCAACTCCCCATCAACTAAGATACCCAAAAAAAGGTGTGGGGGAAGCAAAATAAACATAAGAAAAAAGAGAAGGTGGTGCAAGCCTATTCTAACAATCCTGTCTGTTTGGTGAGTCTTTGCAGGGAAATATGATGTTGGATTGTTTGTCTTCTCTTAACATGATTTCCATTCATTTATTCTTCAAAAGTGTTTGATTATGATTGTTGTGCAGGGAGGGGTGAATGGGATTAGCTAGGAGCCATTCAATGAGGAACGGGGACTACTTGGAAGGAATGGTGAGTAGCAACAAGCCAATAAGATCACCACAGCAAAAGACTGCAACTTCTGCTAGGCTTATACCACTTCTGACATGCTTACAATTCACCTTTGCTGTCTATGCTACATTCCTTTTGTACTACATGAGCCCTGCTGTGGATCTCAGAACCAAACCCGACTTCTCTTGGATCGCGCACCGGTGGAGGCACTTCACGACCCCGAAATTGGTCAGCAAGGCTGTGGTGAGAGCCGAGATCACCCCGAAATTGAATCCCATGCCCCGCTCTGAAGTTTGCGAGCACGAAGAGATTGGTTTTCTGCAGAAGAAGTCTGATGATGCTGTGATGGTTAAGATGAAGAGGGAGCTTTATGAACAAGTGTTGGATTTCCAGAACAGGAGGTTTGGTACCGAGACCCTGTCTGAGCTTATGGCGATGGAGTCGGAGTGGGATTTGGGCGGTCCAAACAGGCCGAAAATCACAGTAATTCTCAACCATTTCAAGAGGAAGACCCTCTGTGCACAGCTTGACTCTCTGCTGAGACAGACCCTCCCCTTTCACCATGTTTGGGTGGTTTTGTTCGGGAGCCCTAATGAGCAGTCCTTGAGGAGAATAGTCGAGAACTATAATGACACGCGAATAAGCCTCATCAGTTCTCGCTATGATTTCAAGTACTATGGCAGGTTCCAACTCGCGCTGCAGACAGAAGCTGATCTGGTTTATGTCGTGGACGATGATATGATCCCGGGGAAGAAAATGCTGCAGATTTTGGCACACGTGGCGGGGACTGACAAGTACAAGAACTCTGTTCTGGGAAGTATTGGCAGGATTCTGCCCTTTAGACAGAAGGATTTTAGCTTCCCTAGCTATAGAAAGCCTCGGGCGAAAGAGGCTGGGCTTTACCTGCCTGATCCTGCTTACGATATCTTGGTCGAGAGAATTGTTCGGGTGGATTTCCTGTCTAGTTCTTGGTTCCTTTCTGCAGAACTTGTGAAAACTCTCTTCATTGAAACACCCTTTACTTTCATGACTGGGGAGGATTTGCAATTGAGGTATGTTATATTTAACAGTCTCATACTATCTAGTAATTAATGTGTGTGTGTTTTAACTTTTAATCAACTCAAAAAATAAAAAATAAAAAAAATTGCAGTTATCAGCTTCAGAAGTACAGAAATGGCAGTTCATTTGTGGTGCCAGTTGATCCGAATGATAAGGAAACATGGGGAGACAGTGAGCATAGGTTAGCATATGTCTCAGAAACAACTGTGATCTTCAAAGACATTGTGCAGGTTAGGGATGATCAGTGGTGGAGAGCCCTCTCGAGTGGGTACGTGACACAATGGGCCGCGATGCACCCTCAGAAAACAGATGCCCTCTTCTATGCCCACTCGGTTGACGAAGTGAAAGCCCTTGCCCCACTTCTCGAGAAGTTCAGGGCAAGTGTTGGGAAGAAGGCCTACATTGTTGTCTCGGGAGGGAGGTTCTTGGCCTGCGAGGATGCTGCTGCAGCGCTGAACTGGGCGAAAACGGTGTGCAGAGAGCGCAGGTTCAAGATTATGGATCTGGGAATCAATGGCTTGTCAGGAAGTTCGAGTTCTGAAGTGCCTGTTTTGCAGGGAGTTTATGCCAGCATGAAAGGGCTGATCAAGATTCACAACCCTAGCCTGGTGATCACAGTTTCTGATGCCAATTCTATCATCATCAAAGCACTGAAAATGGCTGTTGAGGCTGACACAACCAATGCCACACTTGTTCTCTTGCCAAGGCTGTCTGTACCTAAAGTTCTCTGGATGCCCGATCTTCGCTCCTCAACATTACCAAGTAAGAACGTCTTATACTGTACCGGTATCTGTATTCATCGTCTTTATTATCAAATAAGAACGTTTTATACTACACTGGTATCTGAATTCGTCTTTATTACCAAGTAAGAACTGTTTATACTACACTGGTATCTGTATTATGTAAGACGAGACTAATATGTTCTGTGCTGGTGCAGATTGGAACCGGATGAAGGTAACCATTAGCATTATTACTCAAAACCGGGCGAATTCATTGGCAAGGCTTCTCAAGTCTCTCACCAATGCCTACTACATTGGGGATGAAATCCCCATCACCTTCAACATGGATACCAAAGTAGACAATGCAACTCTAATGCTAGTGAACTCGTTCAATTGGCCACACGGGACGAAAACTCTTAGAAGAAGGATCGTCCAAGGAGGACTGATCCGAGCAGTGAGTGAAAGTTGGTACCCTTCATCAGACGACGAGTATGGGGTACTATTAGAGGATGACATTGAGGTGTCCCCTTACTATTATCTGTGGCTTAAGTATGCCCTCTTGGCCTACCACTATGACCCTCAAGTGTCATTCCCTGAGCTCTCCTCGATCTCCCTCTACACGCCGCGTTTGGTGGAAGTGGTGAAAGAGCGGCCCAAATGGAACGCCACGGACTTCTTCAAACACGTCCACCCAAACACGCCGTACCTCCACCAGCTCCCCTGCAGCTGGGGCGCCGTCTTCTTCCCCAAACATTGGAGAGAATTCTACGCCTACATGAGCCTTCGATTCACCGAGGATCCCAAACAAAACCCTGTCCAGATCCCCAGATCCCGAACCAACGGCTGGCAAGCATCGTGGAAGAAATTCTTGATCGACATGATGTACCTGCGAGGCTACGTTAGCCTCTACCCGAACTTCCCGAACCAGGCGAGCTTCTCGACCAACCACATGGAGCCCGGCGCGCACATCGCGGCCAAGGACAACGTTGTCGGACACAAAAAGGACGACTTCGAGGTGCCGCTGTTGGGAGAGGAGTTCAGCAAGATGTTGCCTGGCGGGAAAATGCCGCCGGCGTCGAAACTGCCGGCGCTGAACCTCTTCAACCAGGCTGTTTCTCTGAAGGGGTTGAAGGCTGCCGGAGCGAAGTTGAAGCAGGATGTTCTTGCGTGCGAGGAGGGCGAGGTGGTCGTCGTTAACCACGACACCGGCCTGCCTTCGCATTGTGCCAGATTCTGATGTTTTGTTTCTTTAATTAATTGTAAATGTACTAGGAGGGATATTTCATTATTATTATTTCTTCTTCTTCTTCTTCTTCTTCTTCTTCTTCTTCTTCTTCTTCTTCTTCTTCTCAGGATGTTCTTGCGTGCGAGGAGGGCGAGGTGGTCGTCGTTAACCACGACACCGGCCTGCCTTCGCATTGTGCCAGATTCTGATGTTTTGTTTCTTTAATTAATTGTAAATGTACTAGGAGGGATATTTCATTATTATTTCTTCTTCTTCTTCTCCTCCTCCTCCTCCTCCTCCTCCTCCTCCTCCTCCTCCTCCTCCTCCTCCTCCTCCTCCTCCTCCTCCTCCTCATCATCATCATCATCATCATCATCATCATCATCATCATCATCTACCAATCTTCTTCTTCTTCTTCTTCTTCTTCATCATCATCATCATCATCATCATCTACCAATTATGTTTAAATTATTTGATTTTATTTATATTATACTCGTGATAATACGCAAATTGCACGATTAAATTAATATCTAATATGAAAATTAAAATAGGTAAATATTTAATATAATTTTTAAATAGGTAAGATAATCAATATAATATAAAATAAAATTTATTATTTTTAATATGATCAAAATGAGTATTTTTAACTTGTTATAAAAGATGAGTACTATTATAGATAGTTATAATTAAAAATTAAAAATTAAAAATAATGTACTAATAATTTTCATATTAAAATAAATTAAGTCTTATATATTAATGCGATATAAATTATGACTATTGATAAGTCAATAAAATTTAACTTTTTTTTTTTTGTTAAAAGTAACATAATTATAATAAGCTTCCTATGTTTCAAGAAAAAAAAAAAAAAAAACCTTACTGATGTTGTCAAAATATAAATAAAGAATTATGCAATAACGTTATAGCGCATACAAATTCTTAAGTTTTTCTTTTATATATAATTGAGATCTCAATTATTATTATATGTAAAATATCAATCTTGCAAACTCTCATTGATATTTTGAAATATTAATTTTTTTTTTCTATATTAAATCATGAAAATTTTGCATTTAAATTCTTAAAGTACAAAGAACTTTTGTCACATACATAATAGATCAACTTGTAATCTAATTTACACTATTCTAACTGAATTGAGTTAATTACCAAAATGGTCCATTGATTATAGCGAAATTATCAATTTGGTCTTTGACTATTTTTTTTAAAACCAATTAAGTCCCTCAATTTTAAAATTTTTAACCAATTTGGTCCTCCGTTTGTTTGACCGTTAGTCAACTGTTAACTTGGGACCAAATTGATAATTTCGCTATAGTCAAGGGACCATTTTGGTAATTAATTTTCGGGGTGGGCAATTCGGTTTAGTTTTCTCGAACCAAACCGTACCGAACTGAACTAGTTTGGTTCGATAATATACCGAACAATCGAATGGTATTGAATTCTTGTATACCGAACGGTTCGATAAAAAATCGCAGAAACAAGCAAACAACTTCCTAGCTAGAACACGTCTCTATTTCAGGAAATTGCAAAGCAATCTACCCAAAAAGCAATCGGAGATCAAGAAATCTGTGATAAACAACCCTCAGTCGTGGTTTCTAGATCTCCAAACTCAGATTTAGGAAAGTAGTTAGCGGGCCAACATTACCCACCAACGACCAACACTAATTTTACAGGATCGTTATGCTGTGCATCTGTATGCACCATGCATGGTGCATACGGATGCAAAAACGGTGTCATTTTATTAAAAATATGCATCCCATTTAAAAAATTTTTAGTTTCGATTCCCCTCAACAGCATTATGTTGCTCATTCATTCTGAAATTTTAGTTCATAGATTCTGAAATTTTAGTTCATAGATTCTAGAATTTTAGTTCATTGATTATGGATATTTAGACGTGAATCGAAACTGATTTTTTTTTCATTCATGCTGGATATTTAGTTCATTCATTATGGATATTTAGTTCATTCATTATGAATTTTTAGTTCATTACTTATGGAATTTTAGTTCATTGATTCTGGAATTTTAGTTCATAGATTTTGGAATTTTAGTTCATCGATTCTGAAATTTTAGTTCATCGATTCTGGATATATAGTTCAAATTATGCACAATATAATGTTGTTGCTGGGAATCGAAACTGAATTTTTTTTTTTTAAGTGAGACGCACGTTTTTAATAAAACGACGTCGTTTTTGCATCCGTATGCACCATGCATAGTGCATACAGATGCACAACATAATTTGCCAATTTCACACACATGACACACCCATATGTGTGTGTGTGTGTGAATATATGTTTTTTTTTAATAATTTTGTACGTTTATTAATAATTTTTATTCTTCCCTAAACATTAATTTATAATAAATTTTCATTAAGGCATGTCCCATTTTTGTTTAATGAGATTGGTTATTACACAATTGTCTGAGTATATTATTGATTTCATAATAATGATTCGTGATAATGCTGGGAGTACGGTATAGATTCCTAGAATGTCTATGAGATTGTTTTTTAAATTTCAAATGAGACAATTTTTTATTTATGTTGTATGCAATGACAATCAATAAAAGCTAAGGTCATGTCCTATTGCATTGGTGTTGTTATTCAAGAGTTGAATTTCTGTACATGAATAATTGTAAGAGGCTACGAGTTAACAACTCGAAGGGTCTAAAAATTTTAATTTGTAATTATCTTAAAAAGAGTTATACTTCAATCATTAATGTGGTTTTCAAAAAAGAAGTTTTTAATAATTTGGAAATAAAATGTTAATTTTAAAGTTAATATTCTTTTGTTGTAATATACAATATCATATATTCAATCGATTTGTTAATTACAATAACATGTTAAATTAAAATTTAATTTATAGGCCGTGCATCGCACGGGTATAATGCTAGCGAAGAGAAAAGCGAAAAAAAGATAAGATAGTAATTTTAAAAATATTTTATTACTGCACAAGAAAGAAGTAAATAATGTACAAGTTATCAATGAGCATGATTACACCGACATATTTTGTATTCACATTAGAGCGTTACCAATATTGACTCTTATTTATTCTTAATAATAATAGATAATTAAAAATTTAATCATATTTATTTTACATATAGGCCCTGTTTGGTAAAATAGTTAGCATATTAGTCAATTTTGGTTTTTTTTTTTTTTTTTTTTTTTTTTTTTTTTTTTTTTTTTTTCTTTTTACCACTATTAGATGTTTGACTTAGTTAAATAATCAACGAGGGTGTTTGGTAAATAGTTGTTAGTTGATTGAGTTAGTGTGTTTGATTAGTTGATAGTATTGGCTGATTGTAGAAATTAAAGGTGTTTGGTAAATTAGTTGTTAGCTGATTATATGTAAAAATGACTTTCTCAAAAAGCTAATCGAAAAAGTTGTTTTGAGAAACTTTTTAAATTTTAGCATTTTAGAGCAATAAATTGTTACAAAAAAACTAATTAACCAAACGCTTATGAGTGTTTGATTAATTAGCTTTTTGTAACAATTTATTGTTTCAAAAAGTACTCAAAGTAGTTTTTTCAATCAGCTTTTTGAGAAAATCATTTTGTATGTAATCAACTAACAGCTACTTTACCAAACACTTTTCTACAATCAGCTGATGACAGAGTAATAGTGCCAGCACCCGACCCGGGTTGTCAAACAGGTACCTGACCCGGCACCACATGGAAACCCAATGGGCAGAACTCCAACGGGCAGATTACTAATGGATGGAACGTTACCACAGGGCCATTTACAGTGTCATTGAAGAGAGAGAAATAATGGCTCCTCATTATTTCTCATCATGACATTACCGTTAGGACTTGATATAAAAAGGACCTCTCCTCAGCTAGGGAGACAAGCTCAATACTCTGTACTAAGACATGACATATTCTGTATTGAAAAGACTGAACACTTAGCAATACAATTATCTCAGTTCACTTGCAATACAACAATTCGTTATTCTAATATTATATTTCCGGTAACATATTTACTGACATTGGTGCTTTCATTGAGAGCCTGAAACCAATACCCAGGCAGGCTTACACACAACTTTCTCTTTTAGCAACAAGCCTGAAAGAATGGCACGCTCAGGATCCGGTAGCTCCCACGGTTCTCGCAACTTGAACAACGGCAATGCCTCGGGTGACCTTCGAGACCAACTCACCAACAATCGTGGAGGGGACCTCCGAGAGCAGCTCAACAACGGGATGCCCAGGGACCCTCGGGACCAACTCAATAATGGAGGGACGAACCAAGCCGTGAACCTCCAGGCGACCGCCGAAGCCATTCGGCAAGCAGCGACGACTCTAACTCACACAGCGGCGGGATTGCAAGGCCAGGTGCCCCCGCCGCGACCCTAGGAAATAGAGGTAGAGTCCCCACAAAGGATAGAAGGCCAGCAACAATAGGATGCGACCCGTGCAGCGAGAGACGCTGGACGCCATACCAGTCTAAGGGCTCAAGAGGAGGGCACCCAAAGAAGTGGACCGGCCAGATGGCGACTAGGACCCTCCCACTCTGACCTTGAGCGATTGGGACACAGGGCGCCCGCACGGCAAAGATTAAGATCATGGGACGAGGGGTCCTCTACCAGAGGCCCTCGCCGACACGAAAACAGAGAAGCAGAGAGATCACCCACAGAGAGGATGGGCGAGTCTCGTGAGCCGGCCCCGCGATGGCACGTTGGTGAGTCGGCCCTGCGTCGACACTCAGATGGACGACACGTTGGTGAACCGGTTCCACGTCGACACTTGGATGGACGGCACGTCTCGCTGACACTTGGACGAGCGGCTCGTCGATGAGCCGGCTCCACGCCGACACTTGAACGAGCGACACTTTGATGAGCCAACCCCGCATCGGCACTTGGATGAGTCGGCTGCGCGGCGGCGCTTTGATGAATTGGCCGCGCGACAGCACTTTGATGAGTCGGCCGCACGCCGGCACTTGGATGAGCCTGCCGCGCGCAGACACTTTGATGCGCGCTGGCCCCGCGCTGCCAATTGGATGAGCCGGCCACGCGCCGGCACTTT